TTTCATTTGTATCTTATTCACACTCTGACTAGTGTTTATAATAACAAAATATCGTAAAAATTGTTCTTCTAGTATACAGTTCGACGTTCATTCAAATTCGCAATAGGCATTCTTAAATATTGTTCATAAATAATGTCAATTTGTTCACATCTAGGAACAAGTTGATGGTCTGTGATTTTCACAACGCTGTTGAGATCGTACCGCCTTCTCTTGTTCGTGCGGTCATCCGGCGGTCATACTTGGCTGGATGTGGGTGAACACAGTTGGATGGCTTACACTCCAGCACATCTTCTACTTTATCTCAGTTTAGTGGGAAGTTTTACCATTCAATTCGAAACCATTCAATAAATAACGATTTGTTCTTCAAATATACACAACAGGAGAATCTTCTCTAGCTCGTAGCATGAACATTCATGTGTAAATCTGGAATGAACAAAAATAAAAGAAAAATATAATAATTGTTATTGTCATTAAATAATTCAACAGAAAAGAAGTAAAATGATATAAAATAGTATCATGTATTGTCAGATTAAACGTTGATACCGATTTTATTTAATTTGTCGTGATTAGAGTTACTTGGCGAGTTCCAACGGAAATTGTAACAGTATAACAAAAGCTTTGGAGCGAGTCATGCTCCCCACCCTTTTATCATCGATGGGAATACAACAGCTGAAATTAATACTAATTTCAGACGTTCTATTCAAATTAAAATATTTTCCAAGGCTTTAGTATTCTCTTGTTTGTATTCTTGATCTTTACGCACACGTGCTAAATTAACTCTTATGTATTGTATAAAATGTTACAACAAACACCTATTATTAACATTTAGCCGACAAATAATGGGGCGTTTTAGCACCCATTCTCATCTCAAGACGCCTCAATACAACTTAAGAATATGTTTAACATGTTCAAAAATAATTATTCATTTCAAAAATATCAAATCGGTACTATACGGAAGCAACTCCAAACAACGCACTGCCAGCGGAGTGATTTACAATCACTAGACAGCAATTTCAAACTATGCCCGCCATCGGCAATTTACGGGAAGCTTACAGTCGCGTGCAGGATAAACTAATCAATATGCAACTAATACACCGAGATTAATCAATGTCAATAAATTCATAACCATTAAGTTATTGACACGAGTCAATTGTTTGCTTATTTTTATCTTGGCGATGATTTATTAGCAATAATGTTCTATTGAGTAGACTTTGATTTAACAATATTGAGTACACGAAGAGATTGCATGAATTATCAGTCCAGAGAATAATACTAAAATATAGTATCACAAAACTTACCTTGTGCAAAATTTGCCGAATACATCTCATTATTTATCCAAAAATCTAAAATGTCGTCATCTATGGAACTACTTAAGGAATCATAAGAAGTGTCTGAGGAAGAAGATAAACTTGGTGTTGGTGAATGGACGAGGGAGTCTTGGGACGGAGAAGTCATTGGTTCCATCGTACTTTGGTAAGTTGATTCTGAAGAATTTGGAATCAGCATTGGTAAGCTGGGCGAGAGACTGTTCGAATCAGCATAACTGGAACCCATAGAATCGGTATCACTGAAGACTACAGAATTTGTGTCACCACAGATAGAATCATTGTCATCAATCATCTGCTGAAGACGTTTTATGTATTCTACAGCTCTTCTCAGCGTTTCCACTTTACTAAGTTTTTTATTCTTTTTGATGCATGGGACATGTTCTCTCAAAACTTCAAATCCGTTATTCACAAGTTTCACTCTGTTCCTCTCTCGTTCATTTCTTCTGGACACAGCCCCAGGTTTAGGTGCGTTGTAACCCAGCTTGGCAAAATCAATCTTCCTTTTACACCGTAAAATTTCTTTTTCTTCATTTCCAGAAACCTTTGGTCTCAGCGCTTGCATTTGTTGAGCTACTGTGGTAGCCTTAAGTAAAATACACGGTCCGGTAACTAAAACTCCATTTGTGTTGGAAACTGGAATAGCCTGAAGAGGAACACAGCTAACTGTTGATGCCATGGTGCTGTCAGTTCGTATACACGCTTTTACGAAAATAAACGTACGTAGAAGCCTCGTGGCGGTCGTGTGTGCTGACTGCACGCGGGTTATATTTTCTGACGCGTTCAAGACTCGTGTCTGTCTACGTTTCTGGCTCGTTCAACACCTATCGAATGACGATTCTGGGATGGAGTCGTGGGTTTTATAACGACCAGCCCACATCCACGACTCCGCCCAGCGTTATAAACAAAGATGATGACAGGCTGTCAATCACCCGATGGCTCGTGCGATGAGCGCGTGCCCTCAAACTGAGCTTAACCACTTGTAAACCCCAACAGAATAGCTGCACAGGTGACTCATTTGAATCCTTGATTGATAAAACAAGATTTTTCCCAAAATAATATCAATATGTCAGCAAATTAAACTCATAACAATATTGATTTTATAAATCGTAAAAATTCCCTTAAAGGATTTGAATTCGTCCAAACGTACTCACGTACTTAAGACACGTCCAACGAGTGTGATCAACATTGAATGACAGGCGTTTTCGTCAAACACGACTGATTACGTAAATCATTAATGTATTTGATATACTGAAATTATATATCCATTTGGATAATTAGTCCAAAATAGTTCTTGAAAAATAAATTTGTTTGAGTTATTCATTAGATATATATTTTGTATTTTTTCACAAAACTAAGACGAGGACGCTTGTTTTCGCGTGCCAGTTAAAACACCACTTTCCTTTCCATCTTTTTAGACTTCTTATATTCTACAGTATCATTTTCCACAATTTGTGAAACCTCTGTCGTTACATTTATTTCAAAATGAAAATTGTTTGAATTCAATATAAGATAATTAACCATTTTGATATTAAATAATCATAAATAATACCCATCAAGAACGTGTCGAATTTATGATTGTATATAGTTATTAGTACAAAAAGCACGTTGTCAACAATCTTCCTTTTGGTAGTTTTGAAATATTGTCCATTTACCGCACGCTATTTAATAGCATATATGCATTTTCGATGACATTATTTTAAATAAAAAAATAATCTTTGAAATATAGAGAAATAACATTTTAACGAATTATAATAATATTTATATGTAATTGGAAGATTTGAAGTTTTTACATGACACTAAAGAAACATGCAGAATAAACAGTCTTTACCCTCTATCCAATTCATTCAGTTGGACGGGCATACTACCTTTTGCCACCTGCAGGATATTGTGTAAACATGAAAAGGGTAGTTTTATTATTGGTAAATTTTCGTTAAAGCAATCAGCTTTTATTTTTTCTACTATACCGGATCAATAACCCCCAATTCATAGATTTTTTAAATTCTTAGTCAACTATGAAACGAAGGCATTTAATCCGGACAACAACCAGTTTTGAGTGATGCTACACCAAAAGCTTCTTTCTACCATTAGCTATATTCGACTCCGGTGCTTTTATAGTTAGTTAAAAGAGATTCGTGGCGTTTTACAAGAAAGTTGTAACACCTGCCATGGGTAACGGGCCATTACCAATAGTTGGGATATAATTACTTTCAGTCTAACGTGAGTATGATAACAAGTAGATAGGCATGTTTAATATCCATATACAATAGCTTAATAGCTTGATAAAATTTAAAGCTATCTCTGTATGAGCTTTTTGCCGTTGTACTTGAAATGCATTAAGAAGCAGTTGCGAACTCTTCAAAGAGTGATAAACACTATGTTCGAAAGACATGATGCAAACAATTATTCTGTGAAAAGAGCTAATTCTTTTTTTGAAACGAAGTAATAGATAGATTATTTTCTTGTTCTTTGCTATAAAAATTGTTTTCATTGACAGGATTGGAAATTGCAGAGAGGCATCATCCTCGGAGTTATTGCATCAGTCTGTCTGGCACATGTAAATCATATACACGTACTAACGTAGTGCATCGTATCATAAACTTCCTTAAAGATAGTAGTAAATTCTGTAGTATCTATTTATACTCTTACATACAAGCAAAGTTATGAATTAAGAGATTACTAGATAAAAATGCAGAAAAACTTTATTGAAAGACGGGGCTGTGCTTGTTTGTTCAGCGTTACTCGACTATTACAAAAATTTAATAGATCCCCACAGAACAATCTTTCTTGCTCAAACAATATGTACACGAGATGAATTTGAAAGGCTTACGTATACAAAGATTCCACTGAGATACTGAATTTTTACGAGGACAGGTCATATTTTGCCGATCCGGGTAAAATATATATGAACGCGTGCCGCAGAATCTATTAAAAATAATATTACAAAAAGGACTGTCCCATTTCTTTACAGACAGTGAACTGGTTTGACGTTCCGCCTCAATGTTTTCTAACACCGTGGGTGATAAATGTTTGTATATGGGGACCCTGGATGTGATTTCAATCTCTTTGATCCAAGCCGCACAGCCTCCTCCGGCAAATATATGTCGGATATGTTTTAATATTGCTTTAGGGTGACGGTTATTAGTATCTAATATGGTGGATACGGTGTGCACCACAAGGCACGCGAACACATACGAGTGATGTTGAATCAGCACACCATGATCAACAAAACTGTTAGATTTTATTTTGAAATATAGGGTTTGAATGGAATTTTGGGCACATTAGAATAATCTATTTTGCCGACAGAAATATTTAGGGTCAATCAAAAATGTAATCATAACCTTTTCACACCTAGATGATCTGAACATATATCAGAATAACCAATGAAATATTAATTAATTCTATTCTTTGTGTAAGTATATTAATATCGCATCCCTAATACATCTTATGTTTGCTTCGAAAGACAGGTAAACTAGTACGGTATTACAAAAGTTATATAGGATTAATATTGAATACTATTATTATTAAACGATTTTTTTCGTGTATTGATTACCTCTAGAGACCGCCAAAATTTATTTTATTCAAACCAATTTTTATGCTTTCTATTAATGTCTCGTTGAAAAGCGATTGTTATTTATTGCATATATTAAAGGTAATATTAGTTATGCCATCTGTTGCCATTATAGAATGATATCCACATACCGACGTAGTAATGTTACCATTATTCTATTTTGATTCATACATTATTATTTTCCAAGCAGAGATTAGAGAGTGTAAGTATATTCTTCTTTTTTTCGAAACAATATCTGAATAAGATATTTGACGGATCTAAATTTTTATCAACTTTAACATTAATAGCGACAGTCGCGTGCGCCACGGGTATATTTTAAGAGACATCTGTCGTACCTAAGTGCATACATTTATCAAAGTCGAGATAATTCCTACGTTGTCGTGATACACATTTTATGCATAACACACGAGACGTGGCTTTATAGTTTCTGTGTCTTATTTCATATCCATAAAACATACATAGTTTAAAGGGGGTAGAGTCAAATACGTTTAAAGTACTAAATCACCACTCTTTAATAAGGGGCTATGAGCGCCTACCTAATGTTTAGGTAGTTTCCCCGAAGAAAACTCCTGTTGAAAACTGTTATTTATATATAAATCGGAAGTTTTGGTAAGGTTATATGAAAACAAATAAAGTGCACCAATAATTTGAATTTTGACACTCTCGGGTTATGCATGCTTATAATTATTTAAATGGTGTTTATTTTTTTAGGCCAGTTTCAGCTATTTATCGTGTGTTCTCTTAAAGATGATATATGATTACCAATCTTAAAATTGCGTATCATATGTTGAAGCTAGCATACATCAAAATGCAATAATTTAACAATGTTCCTTTAATGTTTTCGTATCCTGTCCCTTTAATGTCCCTTTATTTTCTTGTTTTTTCCCTTTAATATTTTTGTATGATTTCTCATTAACGATTTTGTATCATTTCCATTTAATGTTTTCGTATCATTTGCTACCATCCTACCGTCCAATTTAATGTACCCTTTCTCTATGAACCTAGCCTCTTAAATATAAAAATCAAAGTTAGATATGAAAGTGCTTGTATGTTTGAGTAAACTGAAAAATGTCCCCTAAATACTTAAGATGTCGGGGCTGTATTTACACCTTGGCGCGTTCACGTCGCGTGGCTTACACAAGTGTGACGAAAGGAAAGATAAACCAGTTTTTACGTGTGTTTTAAATGTATAATAAAACCCCAACCCATATCCTATATAGCTGTTTCATATATGTGGATTACATTATTAGTATTGCTATTATGTTCAGGACAAGAACACCTAAACCAGGATGTTACACCAAATATATCCAGAACGCAAGATGTTACACATATGTCGCAAAACGTGTCTATTATGTTCTTTGTATTAATCTATATGTTTATATGTTATTTTGTTTGGACTCTCTTATCTGTATATGTAGAAGTGGAGATATGGTTCAATTTTATTTCAATAACTAGCTTGTGCGTAGGGGTCTTTAGCAGGGGGAAGAAACCGGAGACCCCGGAGAAAACCCACGAGGTTGGACAGGCGACCCTACTCCATGTCACACAACGGGGAATCGCGCCAGTTGACTCAATGACAGACCTTATGACGCAGCGCGCACGCGCTACCCCACCCCAACCCGAATACATTTAGAAATTAATTTAACTACGAATGTTAAAGAGGCGGTAGGCCTACTAGAAATCAAGTGACATCTTTCATAAAACGGGATTAAGAATACAAATAATTGTACAAATGTGAGTAGTGACTAGTTTCAAATGAAAACATTGAGACGTTCGGTTGTTGTTGTTGTTAATTTAACGTCCGCTTCCACTATATCACAGACGCACTTTATTTTTGGAAAATTCAGCGCATGCGCAATATAGTAGACCCACGAGTAGATTCCAAGCTGCATACGCTCACAACAGGGGTCGAACCCACGACCGGCCAGCTTGAGCTCGAAGCGCGACACTATACACCACAATGCCGCCTCAATCAATCCACCCGTCGATTTATTTAACCGGATTAATTATCCTCGTGACTTAATCATCGCGACGATCACTCACAGCTTGACTTGACTTGATGTCAGGCTTAACGTCCGCTTTCACCTAGGGTGACATCGTAGACAAGTCACTTACAAGTACTTACACCGCTAAGAATTTGGAGAATGTAATGAGAACAAAGTTTGTATTTCTTCGAAACCGTTTCAAAGAATTTCATATTTTTGCACCGGAATAGAACACGGTATTTCACTAAAATATATATAGAAATAAAAATCCGACTGCAAAGCAAAGCGCCCTGTAATTTCTAAAGCCGTTTAGATTTAATTTCGTACTGTTCTACAGATGAAGATTTTAGTTGTCCGATTCGTTCTTAGAAATTGCCACCCTTTAAAGCGTTAACATGTCCTCTTACTTGAAAAGATATTTATTACCCGTATGTTTCTTGGTATATTATTAGAACTGTTTGATATTAAATCTAAAACTGGACATTTTTATTGATATATTCCATTCTATTGTCGTTAACTGCCTCGTGACAAAATATCCTTTCACGCTGGTTTGACACTTCAAAGACGACCTGACCCCTCTCCTAATCCCACATAAGTTCTCTCATAAACACAGGATAACAAGCTCCATCCATCACATCGTCTTTATTATGAAATCTTCATATATTTTCGGATATAAGAATCTCGACCGATATATCTTACAAGATTTTGATTGCGAATTGTTATGATTACACTATTGTTATATCAATTATCTACTTTTAAGTATGCCGTTAATAAGTATACGAATCAATTTTTCATATGATATTTTTTTCACAGATACTGAGTGTAAACCTATTTCAAAGATGGTATAATAATTGTTGTACAAGATGCGTAACTTAAACGATCATTCAGATATTTTAATTGGCGGTGTTTAGACAAAAATACTTTTTTAATAAGTATACGAATCAATTTTTCATATGATATTTTCTTCCCAGATACTGAGTGTAAACCTATTTCAAAGATGGTATAATAATTGTTGTACATGATGCGTAACTTAAACGATCATTCAGATATTTTGATTGACGGTTTTTAGACAAAAATACTTTCTTACTCTTTTTTATGATATACGTAGGAATATGTGTTTTTGATATGTTACACGAGTACAGAGAGTGTCATACCTTAAAGGAAAAATAAAATGAAATGAAATGGGGTTTAACATCCTATTCTGTTCATCGACTGCAGTGTGCTATGAGGGAAATTTTGTCCGCACATCAGCGCTATGGCTTACTCTTATATCAAATTTCAATTGTCAATTTACTTGCACGCCAATGTGTACATGGGGCCTCGATTTTTCGTACCGCCCGACTGCCTATAGGTTGTTCCTTGCCGTGCCCCCCGTCCTACACCAGTGACAAGGGGGACCCCGATTAACTTTCTCGGCCAACATCGGTTAGCGAGCAAACGTATTACTCACTGAGTCACCGCGGCCTCACATTCTTTAGAGGTCTATGAAACCTGGCCCAGGATAAATAAAGTTACTACCGTTGACATGTAATATACACTCTTCAAAAAAAGTAGGGGATATTCAGAAACAATACAAAACTGCGGAAAAGCACTGCTGTTTTTATTAGAGGTAACCAGTGTATGTTAATAACAGGCCAATTGCCTACACGTGAACATAAACAGTTCATATGGGCGGCTTATCTGACGGCCCCATTTCACTCGCAAAGTGAAACGTGAAAATGGACGTTTTTGATTTTTGTCTAAATAATGAGTAATTGCTCCACCAATCCTCAGACATTCAGCAATTCGTTGTGGCATGTTCCTAATCAACCGTCCAATCACGATTTGGGGCAATCTGACCCACTCCTCTTGCAGTGCCACGGCCAATTCCTGCAGTGTTGTCGGTTGACGTTGACGTCGACGAACACGTCTCCCGATCAAATTAAACGTAACACACTAAAGCAAAGATACCTTAAACAGTAAATCTTATGCAAGAACCGATAGGAAAGCAAACATGCATAGATAAACCAGCACGCGGCAGTTTTCACCAACCCTTCCTTGAAGTGTCAAATTTGACAATGAACCCCTCCCACGTGTATGGCGCTATTGCGTGTCTCATGTGCAGCTCGTTGGTTCTGTTGGGGCGATAAGTTCTTCATCTGTGAATACACTCTCAAAGCATGTCAAATGTCCATGACTATTTATCATATCGCAACCTGCATAGGTATTTGCATTTCAATATCCCCTACTTTTTTTTTGAAGAATATATATCAAGCGGAAAGCTAGTGATGTCTCCCGTCATACCACTCTTCTAATGTGTAGAGAAGTTGTGTTAGTCTTATGCTATAAATCTGAGTCAGCATCATGAATTCAGTAAAAAATGAAATGAAATGGGGTTTAACGTCCTACTGTTCTGCCCCGACTGGGCTAATGAAGACGGACATACGCCATACAATGTACCATGAGGGAAATTTTGCCTACTATTGTATACACGGGACTTCGGTTTTCGTGGTTTTCTCCGAGTCCTCCGCGCTTTCCTCCCTACACTGTAAAAATATCCATTGTTTATGTGGCCGAATTCCGTAGTTTAACACCTTTTTTCTGTTAATCGATGGCTTTTTTTGGAGAAATTGTGTTAAAAGTGTGAATTAAGTCTTCAAATTACGTGTTTTATGTATTTCTATGGAATATTCAGTATTAAACAGAAAATTTCCGTGAAATTAGGGATAAAATATTTTATTCCCTTCTATTATGGACTTAATTCTGTTATTTTACGGAATAAACGGTGGAATGACCAGGAATTTACGGATTATTTCTGTTTGCAAATGCAGCGATAAGTAATCGTATACATATATAATCATTCCTAATGATTATCATGTTATAGTATTCATTTCAAGTTATTAACCATAATATGCAGAATTATATTTTGTAAACTTTGGTATATTACATGTCATGTATATCCAATTTCCATTATTTAGAAGATCTATACAGTTTATTGTTATTCATCATACGGTAATCAGATTGTAAGTATTTTCATATATATATATAAAAATATGTTTTAACGCTCCGTATGTATAGGTTGTATTATCTGGTAATCAAGCACACTTAAATCCGGATAGTATAACCGATTGGCTAGTGTAAGCCGGTTTGTCTCTATGGCAGAGTTTGCATACCTGAAAGCCTTAATGACGAGCAGCGGTTTGTGATACTTTGCTCTCGAATAAGATATTCAGTATTCTTCTATTAGCGGAAAAGGTTGAGAATAAAGATTGTCTGCGATATCACTTTGGTGGAAGCGGCTGTTAAATAAAGCTATTTCACACACGCGTATACAGTCAGTGGTTAATTCAATATTCAATGATATTTTTATCACTTTCATGCTCGGGAAACAAAAATTATTTTTCCGTATTTGAAAATAGAATTTATGTTAATTGAAGGAGTTTCTGTAAATTACAGGAAACACAAATACGGATAAAATTTTCCTGGTAATTTTTGTTTCCGGAATTTTTTACGTTTTTTCACGGATTTTTTTGTTACAGTGTACGCACAAGCGAATTATTGAAATAAACTTCAGCCACGTGTTAGTGCCGAAATGACCTAGTCTGTGTCGAGTGGACGTTGAACCCCATCTCTCTCTCTCTCTCTCTCTCTCTCTCTCTCTGTTTTCGTCCTATCCGAGTGAGTACATGTAGACATCTGTCTGTTGTAGGCCGTCCTTCCTGCACCACTGATAAGGAAAAACCACATCGGAAAATCCCGATGATCTTTCTCGGCCAATGCAAGGATCGAACACGCGATCCCCAGGCCAGCGAGCCTAACGTGGCTCCCATACATTCAGTAAGTTTTCTGACAAATTTTATCTCTAAATGGAAATAATTATGCTTATCTTTGGGTTGTATATTTATTTGAAGTACCTCATTTTTTTCACCAGAATCTATGCCATATGCAATTCATGAAGAGTATAATTATTTTTAATGAATCTTAATATTTGTATTCTTAAGATTGTGGTTGTTTTTTTTCATTCTGTTTTGTGTTAATACTACCCTAAAATGCCAATTTTTTAAATCTCCCAGTGCTAGGTTGTTTAGTTTTTTTTTCTTGTACGTATTAATACAACTCTAAAATGCTTTCTTCCAATCTCCTGCTAATGCCACGTTCACACTGTCGTTGTTTCGGCTGTAAAACGCTATGATTTTGATGCTGTGCGATTTGCTGCTTGAAAACCCAAATAAATGCTGAAGCTAGGAGTTGCTGACAGTTCTAAGCAACAAAGATACATTTCAATAACTTGTATCCAGGCAATATTAACTAAGTAACAAGGATATAAACCTGTATCCAGATAAAATCAGGAAATTGGAACAGACTTATAGATTTTTGATATAATTCGACAGTGTAAACATAGCATTCATGTATACAAACACAGCCATAATCTATAATAAAGAACGTAATTTGCCCGCCAATAATCTACGCCTTATTAATTGAAATGAATGCACTGTTCGTTCTATTCTTTAATTCTTTTAAAGTCTTTTCTGATTGTTTTCAGAATATAAATATTAATAATGGTTCTTTTAAAAATAATTGAAGAACTAACACTGTAAGCTTAATGCATTTAATATTTTTCATACTTTTCCTCATTGATGTTTTTTACTCGCTTAAATAGGTTCTTTTCTATATTGTTTGAAACCATACTGAAAGATGGTACATGTATTTAAATTACAGTTAACCCAAGAGAAAAAGTAATATGATCAAATCTTTCCAAAGATTTGTTATGAAAAGGACAATTTCGACGAAATACAAAAGAAATAATACTAGGTTTCAGTGAAATATGGATAGTGCATTTATTAAAGGAGAAATATGAATTTCTCCTTTCAGGCAACTTGTTTCTAAAGCTTTTGTTGTTGTTCAGTACCCTGAATCTTAAAGATCAAATGTAAATAAGGTTTTCAACCAGAGTAATATTTTATAATTATACTTCACAGAAATGACCGATCATGGGATCCGGACATCGGTTTGTTAGAAGTTATCTTTGTCCACGCGTACGTGTTGACATATATAGTCATTTAAGCGATTAATCTCTCTTATTTGTTTTCCAGTAGGGCAGATGAACCGAGATCAATATTTACAGAAATACTTACAGAATCAGACATGGTAGCTGGATATAATAAAATGTAATAATGGATGAGATTAATAAGCTGTAGATAAAGCTCTGTGGTCAAGGTGGTTGATACTTAATGCAGAATCATGCTTTGATGTGTGAGAATTTAAAATCTTATTGATAAAAGTATGCGGTAGAATTCAAATTCAGAATATTATTTCCGCCGTTTTTTATGAATCTGTCAGTCATAGTTATAATCTCTAGATACGGCAAAAACCTACTGGTATTTCTACGCAAATTAAACAGTGTATTTGAATGAAACACAAGTATGAATTATTAGAGAGCGATAGCCGTAACCTTTCTGGCCATTATCGTTCGTTCATTCGTTCCTTGGGGCTTATCGTCCGCTTCCACCTTGGGTGATATCGCAGACACGTAACTTGTTTGGCAATTATCCATGCAATTGCGTTAAATATCCCGTGTTCTATTTCGGACTGCAATGACGTCATCTCCACAGTGTCAATTCAATACAAATTGATGTTGATTTAATCGGATTGGACAAGGTTAAATCTCGCCTGGTAACGCGAGAAGTTACGTAAGGATGATTACGGTGGAAAACAAGAGTACTTAGAATAATTGTCAAGAGCTGTCAAGCAAATAAAGGAACAGATTAATACAATTATCTCACGTTTTCTGTCCAACTCTTCCACTATACAGGGATTAACACTGGCTTTCAATCACTCCCATGTATTCATACCCCTTAATGTTAATCTTAATTAACCCAATGAAAAGTTATAGAATGACATTATAATGTACATGTACTTCAAAATCCATCGGGGGGTTGGATGGCCGAATGGTTAGCTGTATCATAAGGACTGCCATTGAGTCAACTGGCGTGGTTTCGAATCCCCGGTTGTACGTGACAAGGACCCAGAGAAAACCCACGAGGTTGAACAGGCGACCCTACTCCTTGTCACGTACAAGCGGGGAATCTATGTACTATAGGCATGATAAGAAGCCCTATAGATTTCATAGGATCACTGAAAAAGTTCGTTTATGTTTGCAAATCAAGTAATGCAAAATGAACTAATTAAGTACCATCAATAAACAAATTGCTTGGAAATAAATTGACACGGGTTTAACGTCCTCTCAAGGAGAGGGGTTTATATAGGCTTTGCCTGTTCCCCATTCCCCTCAGTTGGTCAATAAATATTGTTTATAAACAAAAACAAAAACACGTCCATCTTTCGCGTTTGACTTTGTTATCAGCACGTACTAACCCTTCAGAAATAGCTGCTTCATTGTGTAGTACTATGGTCTTTGCGACCATAGTGTATCTTTAACTAATTATTGGGTTCACATACACACCTTGTATAGAAGTCCTTTCTCATATATGCACTAAAAACATAAGTGACGGGTTGACACATAAAAAGAGTTATAATTTGGTAAACATAGCTGGTTCCGTGGGAACCAGAATTTCATGTTCAGTACGTGATTGGAAATTTACTAATTGCATCATACACTGTAACCATCCAATCAAATTCATTATTTGCAGAATCTTAAGACATGACGTAAGCAAATCTCTTAAAAAAAATCCAAAACCAGCCTTTTAAGATTCAGATATCATTGGGTTCCGGAGAGATTACCATCTGAGTTTCTAGACCATGTGATGTAGCATTTTTTTTTATCAGCGGAATAGTCCCAGCGAGTCTGAGTGGAAGGGATTTAGAGAATGACTTTATTGTAATCCAAGCTTGTATCTTATGTAACCATTGCTTTGTTATTCCTGGTATATAGACAAGCGTCTTAACTACTGAGAAGATGGATGTCTTAGCAGCGGAGATAGTAAGAAATGAAATGAAATGAAATGAGGTTAAGCATCCTACGGTTCTGCTCCTATACTGGGCTAATGAAGACGGGCATATGCCATACAGTGTGCTATGAGGAACATTTTGCCCGGGCAGCGGCACTATCGCCTACTCTTATATCGAATTCCAACTGCCAAGGGATCTTTACGTGCATTCCAGTGTATAAACGGGACCTCGGTTTTTCGTCTCATCCGAAGGACTAGACAGCTGTCCTTGTCAGGCCCTCCATTCTGCACCACTGACAAGGGGAAACCACGTCGGAAAATCCCGATGAACTTTCTCGGCCAATGCAGGGATCGAACACCCGACCTCCAGGCTAGCGAGCCAGCGTCTTAACCACCTAACCACCTGGCCACCGTGACTCCCGGAGATAGTAAGAATAAAATACACAACGAGAAAAGGAAGCAAAGAAGATAATTAAAAAAACTAGACGATCATAAGGGCTGTTCCAAAATATGTAGTAAGAAAAGATGAATGTTTGGATGTGGCGACCAGATTTGCTCGGCCCGCTTTCCACATCTGACAAACGACCCATGGTACTACAATTGCTCTTATATGTAAATGCATAAATATATAAATTGATAAACACTTATCATTGATTGTCCCTGTGATGTTAATTCAACTCTTTTTGCTCGGTTTTATCTTTCTCGAAAATTTTCCTTTGGTTGGAAGCTTTTTATCGGAGATGGATTAGTATGAGCCACGGTCTTGCCCTAAACCATGCATGATGAGATTGCCATAGAAATCTTTAGATACACACACTGGATACATTTCAACGCATACCCATGCCCCAATATCACGAATGTCAAACCATTTTCTTCGATATCAACAAATATCGTCATGCTTAAATACGTAAACGGATGTTTACGTTAATGAATGACTCACGTTTATTCGTCAAGAAGAGAGCGAAGTTCGTAAGCGATTCACTGTGAAAAACATATCATATTTACGTTTCCGTTAATGAATCGTGGATCCGTGAGGAGTAATTACGTATTTATAAAATCCATACAAACTGTTATAGCAGGTGTTCACACTTGCTTAGTTAAAAAGTATACATTCTTTAATAAGTGATTAAATTTTTTTACTATGTACACTGTTAAAATTATTATGTATTTTTACCCTTTTTTAACTGACAGAAATATTGCCATCGTTATAACTGTATTTTAACATTGCATGTTATTTTACAGTCTGTAATATAACTTTACCTCTAGCTATTATACATCTATGGTAAAATTACATGTATGTAAATCGAGTACATGTAAACTTACCATGATGTTAATTTACATAAATTGGTACAATAACATTAAAAACAAAATTATATTGTGTATTTTGAAAAGTAACATGTATTATGTATTAATACCTCATAACTGTTGTAGAATTACATATTATGTAATTTGCCAAGGTAACATTTCTAAAAGGAATATGTTTGTCCCCGCTTGGCTAATTAGTCCTAGGTTCGATCCTGGCGAACACAGCCGAGCATGTAAAACAACATTCGATAATGTAAAGAAATTAAGTGAAATGTGGTTTAATTTCCTACTGTTCTGGTCCTTACAATGGAAAGAGTAGGAGACATGACACCGTCCAAGCAAAATGTCCCACACAACCCAATCTATTGCATATGCCCGTCTTTATTAGCCAGTTCGGTTCATTCAGATTTTAAATAACCCATTTCTCTAAAATGTACTAAACTGACTGACAAAACAGTAAATATTATGCACAAAATTCGATATGTAGTCGAAGGGGGAATAACCGATGTTACCACTATTTGACAGTAAATTTACAATTTTCTGTAAAAATAATATTTTCAACGACATTTCTGATAATATACAGCCCATATAATGTAAACTGGCATATGATTGTATAACTACATAAAGTTTGATGTTATCTTACATAAGCCTTGTATTCATATGCATTTACATCGTTTTAAATGTAAGTTAACAAACAATATGATCTGACAAATCCGGCACTATATTTTTACTATACTTATAACTGTAAATATACATATAATTTTAACAGTGTATAATTATCACACTTGCTTAGGTAAAATGTAAAAATGTAATTATTTTTTAAACATATATTATGCAAGAGCTAAATCTGCCTATTGCGGGTCTTTCTTTAGGCCTAAAATATCATATAAACTATTAATTAGAGATTTATTAACATGAAAAGACCAGAATCAACTCTCGGTGCTATCTTATGTGTTCGATTTTCATTGGATTTGAATCCAATCTGCTGTTGAACGCCCATTGATGATTAACCGGAAAAGTGGATAATCGAGACTTTGCTAATTATCGTGACAGCGGTAACAATGACAATTGTGCTTCGGGGATTTTAAAATAAGGTTTTCTCCGCTTTGAGTGAAGAAATTTGACTGAGATATGCAGCATATTCCCTTTACATTATCTAGTTTTTAACTATTATAGTAAGAACTGTCAGCTCTTTATCTAATCTTCTGTAATGTATATTTAATAAGTGATTCTAATGTTCTCCGGTTTAATTGTGTAAGTATCGACACTTGTTTAGGTAAAAAGTAAAAATGTTAAGATTATTATTCTTCTTATTATTTTTGTTTCCACTTGAGTATATCAGTTTATGGCCAATTCAGGTTAGGCCTATGTGTTCTAGGTTAATTATTTATTGCTCGATTAGTATAAAACAACGTCCATATGCTCAATGGTGCAAAGTCTCAACTTTTTTATTACCGATAAAGTTTTCTGTCGGCACCGAAAATGACGTAATTTTGATAATTGACAAAAAATACAATTTTGGCGCTTAGGAACGTCTTTTCGCAAGCAAATATAAATTACATGTATTACGATTCTGATAGGCGCAAAAAAAGTCAGACTTAGTTTTTTTAGTTTCGGTTTTGTATTTGCGCAATTTTGATTTAAAGATGGGTTTCCAGAAAAGTATTTATCGGGTGGTTATTTCCAATAAAAGTATGGCAATTTTGGTATATATGGAAATTAGAGATATCCAATCTTACTGGAAAAATACTGGATTCCCCGAAAAACATTCATGGAGCGTATACAGGACAAAAATATAAGGGTTCCCCTAATCAACAGCCCGACGATGTCAAAGGTCACAAGCGAACATTGAGCGCTTGATGTATAAGTTGATAAACTTATGAAGAGTTAGACGTACAATACTTTCTGAGATAAAAATGACGGAAAAAGACGCGGGTTGTGGATAATCCGAGAATTTAATTAGGGTTCGATATTTGTAATAAATAGTAAGCGATTAAAGACAA